AATGCATTGTTTCAAAGCTGCACTCATTTCATCGGAGATGAAAGGTATGCAAAGTGGGGCTCTCTTGTCGGTACGTGCAGTTCGACTATATAAACCAGATCGTGGACGTCTAGCGTTATTCGGATCTGTGTAGCCGTTGCTGCGCGCAATCGTTGTAGCCAAGCTAGTAGATGCAAGTCGTTCTTCTACGCCAGTGCTAACTTCTACAGCTGTTCTGTACATGTTCTTAATAATTGCACGTTTCGTCGCTGTAGGGTGCGCTGATTTTGCATGTATTATGATATTCTTTTATTCAAATGTTTTATCTTGGCGTACGAGACGGAAATTTCTGCACGAAAGATACTAGAAGCTTTGTGGATCTCTATGAAGAGCCCAAGCATGAACAACAAAAATGAATGCCTATCAATGACAAATGATCTTTTGCCCTTTCTATCACTATGTGAACAGTAGCCTGCCATATATATAGACGTGACACACCGAGTGACACTCAGTGTCGCCCGTCTTCAACATCTGCGGCTATCGTCCGCTACTTCCTGCGGACTACTAACATCCTTACCACGGTGGATCAACGGTCGGTCTCTTCTGCCAACATGCCTCTCTGTACGTTGTGCATGAGACGAGGTCTAGACTCGATAAGTACGGAGATGGCGTTTGGCGGCGTAGTTTCATAGGTCAAGACTGCAATCATCTTTCAGACCTCCGAAGAAGACGACCTTGTCGAAACGTTAGGTCAAATAAAGATTCACCGTACTATCTGGGCTTGGCGAAAACATCTACTACATCAAATTACGACACAAGATGCCCAGATTCAGAGAAGAGAGAACCTGGAGTTTGCCTTATCATTGTTATAGTAGTTCTTTTTGGATCTTGATATAGAAGTTTTAATTGGTTTATTGTTGTTTTATATGAACTCTCAATTCTCGGTATCATTTTCAAAGTTCTGCAGCGTCTCCTTTGCAACAGTTGAGAAAAATGGATAGCTTTTCAATGTTAGAATAGGGTTCTTTGTGAACTAGTTCTTCGAATAATTCCCAAAATGAGTCAAATTCTGTTGCTTTACCGTCAAAGTCTGGAATTTTCAACTCGTTTCCAAACAAACGATGACTCATGGCGGTATTTTGTTTTTCATTTCCACTTTTTTGTGTTTTTCTTGTTCTTTTTTCATCAGAGCCTCTTGGCATTGAAGTTCTACTAACCTTTTATCTAGATTGTCAATTACTTCGGATGTGGTTTCCAACCAATAATCTCCTCTTTTTTCTTCCCAGTATTGCTCGAAATTACCTTTTACATTTCCATCCTCTCTAGTTTTTCTTTGGAGCTAATGATGTTGCTTACGCATTCATTGTAAAAAGGCCATATGTTCTCTTTCTTACTTTCCATTGTCATGCTCAGAGCTTTTACCATGATCGGTTTAGTTGCTAAAAAATCTTCTAACTCCTTCATTACCGTAGGAAATTGCCTTAGTTGAGTATATTCTTCAGCTTCTTGTAATATTTTTACCAATTCATTGATTTGTCTAGTGAGTCTTTGCTTTGCGCCTTTTAGGTTGAAGGCTGAGATGGACAACCTGTCAAAAATCGTCAAACAAATGGTCTCAAATGAAGAAATCTTCAAGGTGGAGCATGGTCGGCTTGAGTTTCTTTTGTAATGGCTCTTGTTTTTGTTTTCAAGTGCTTATCTCTTTTTCATCTTATGAGATCCTTTCAATGTCTTTACTTAGCGTATCAATAATTTTTTCGCTAGACAACTTTGTTTTGAGAATTATTTTGTTCTTTGAACTACTGATGTCAAATCTCTTTTTTATCATCATTTTCAAATTTGTACCCTTCTGGTACTTCTGTATCCTTCCGATACTTGTTAATGAAATACTTTGTACCCTTCCGGTACTCGACAGTGAAAACTTTGTACCTTTCCGGTACTTTTCATCAAGGCAGCTGCATTTATGAAGCGCTTCTGTTTTTCTTCAATTTTTTGCAAGGAGGGCATGGTGGTGTAAGAAAAGGCTTTGTGCTCGAGTGGACCCTACCAGAGCACTTCCGCTATACTTCCTGTTGCCTTGCCCTCACCTTGCCTTGCTTTTACCTTGCCACGCTTGTAGCTGACTATCCGGCAATTTTCAGATTCGGCCGATGCACCATGTTCGTACTGTTCCAGTAAGATTTCCTGGTTGACAACACGACGTGCAAGTAAAATATTTATTCAAACATAAGGCACAAATTATTATCATCAAACTTACTACTTATCAAACTTGTTAAATAAATATCATCAGACTAGTCATGATAATTGAGTTGCTCTTAGAACTTGCTTCATCTTGTTTAGTGGAGACTCCACAACTTACCGGGCTCCTCGCCTGGCAGGTAAGAGGCTAGCTTACCCGTCTAACTTGCCGCCCGTTCCTCGGCTCCCCCTTTAAGAACTATTGCCATTCTCAAAACATAATGATAAACATATCTCGTTCGCTATGAGAACGCTCAGCGACTTCTTTACGACAAATCATGAAGCAGGGGATTCATGACACATGTGATCATATGGCCCATACAACTTGTATTCTTCGTAGGTGCCTCAATTCTCGAGAAATGCTGATGTTTAGAGTGAAAAAGGTAAAAAAATTATGAGATACCCTAATACATCTCACACAGTGAAAAATTCTGACTCTAAACCAGATCTGGTGCCTCAAACAAAATCATCACACTGTCACCGACATGTAGATACAAGGAACATGCAAAGGAACGCCACATTGACGATTCAAAAAGATACTATCTATCATCGGCTCCACGATTCGTGTAAAGGCGGGGTTTTGCCAACTTAAAGCGTGGCGGTTTTTGACAGCGAGAGAGTACAAAAAACAATGCTATGACGTGGAGGTTTAACAAGTTTACCTGTTTTATCAGACAAAGTCTGCATTACACCTTCTACACGAATCGTGGAGACGATCATACATGTCATTCACAGAAATATACCATCCGGACTGCGTAGAAACTGGCATGAACAACGGCAGAGCTCTAAATTTGGGTCAGTTTGCATACGTATGCTGAAGTACGTCCACTGAGGCAGTTTTCGAATGCTACACTATGCACCTGTGTTATCAGGCACGACCACCTTTTTTGTTTTGAAAGGTTTACAACACCTGTCAAATTAGAAAACGTCATTGCATCAGCCAGCAAAGCAAGGAAAGGTTATCATGAGTATCATGCCTATCGTAAATTCGTTCTTGAGCGCACGGACTGCTCGGACGCTGCGGACCACGCGCGGAGTGGTTGAATTGGTGCGGGAGCACGACTTGTACAATGGCAAACTTGTACTGGGGTAAGCGTTTTATCATGCGGCGCGTGTTCCACAGTGATGAGCAGTGCGTACGTTCAACGAATGAACTATACATGTATTAGATTGTTGCAAAAATAATGTCCGTTTTGCAAAATTTCACTTTGATAGGCTATAACTTTGTCCAGTTTTCATATTTTTGAAGGCAATCAAAACCATATGAAGCAGTAAACCTTTCTTAACCTAACGCGCACCTGCATACACTGATATCACAAATGGGAAGAAAACCGTGCGTCAAAAAACCGAAAGTTTTTCTTTCAAAAACCTCGTCTTTGTGAGACTACAACTCCCTTCGAGTTTTGTTCCTTTGGCTGCTAATTAGCTTATTTTGTAGACACAAGCCTGTAGTATGCTTCTACTTAGAAGAGACTTTAATGAAGGAGTCCTGCGAATAGAAAAGATAGAAATTCAAATTTCTTCACTTTTCGAGCCTATTTGTGGAAGGCCAGAAAGCCCCAAAGTATGGAAATTTGAAATTCTTTATACACCGAGTAGCTAAGCTTTTCTGCTAAAATTGTGGGAAAGATGTCCTAACCTCACGCATACAAAAATGAGAGAAGCTTCGGCGATTGCCTTACTTATGGGAAACTTTGGACCCATAGAATGCCAGCAGCGAGTATCTATTTTGAGGCGTCGATTTCTCGGTTCAGATATTTTGAAAAAATCTATTTAAATATGCTATAGGTAAACAATGTTCAACCAATATAGTAGATATGTTTTCAAAAGAACCCGTTCATTTGCGTCTGGATTGTGGCCAAGGGAGTTAAAGCAACGGATTTTCGCTTTCGAGTGTAGCTGTTTGAGATGCTGCTGAAATTCTCACAGATGAGATAGAAGCTTAATTTTTACAACTGTTGGAAAGTACATGAAGAAAGCTTTCCAATGATATGCAGAATCCATATCGAAAAAGAAGCTATGAAGGAAAGAAGTTGTTCGGAAAATAGGCCTAGAAAAACGGACATTATTTTTACAACAACCTAATAGATAGATTGGATACCCACGACAATGCACATTACGGCAACCTAAAGTTCAAGAAAGTTTTAATTTCTTTAGACATGTTTTAAAGTATAAACCAGATTGTTTGCATAGTGTAAAAGCAGAAAATGTTCGCTTTCTCAGTCAGAAAGAGGGAGCCCTATTTTGTGGAAAAAGAACTTTTAGCTATCCATCCCCATCTTACAGTATAGAGTGCCCTGACCCAAACCTCAGTGTGGCAGCCCAACATCATATTTTCCGGAACACTTATTCCCCAGTTCCAAATCTGTTTCCCTTACGAAATTCTGAAAAATCAATGAAGATAAAGGCGATGGATATTCTTACAAATGGCTGCCACTTATTTAGCCAGCATGCTCGCTTGCCCTCTACTCCTGCAACAATTCGAAAACTTTGGCTTAAACATAGAAAGATTGACAAATCGATGAAAAGATGAGTGACTACGGAGAATGGTACCTTCATAATTAGCGCGCTCACCTACCTAACCCTTATACCAAACTCACACAGATGAACGATCCAAATAAGTTCATTTGTAGATTGCCACAATGGCACTACTAGAGACCACATTCAGCTACTTTAAAGAACTTTCGAATTCTTTGAGAGCTCCTTGTTTACAGTTAGTTGATAGTTGGGAACTGGTGCAAAACACTGGACTTCCAAAAAAAATTATGAGTTTCATTCTCACGAAGAGACGTTCTTGCATGGTATGTCATCAGAGGAGGATGACGATATACTTCCAAGAGAAGGTGAAGAGTTGAAGACGAGGAAGGACAAGTATACGGTGAGGCTTGTTGCGTTTGCACACTTACTCAAAAGGCAGATCCTGTACCAGTCCATATTGAGGCAGGAGCCAAGATCAGCAGGATGTGAATAGCTTCAGTGTTTCTCACATTTGACCGTCTTTGACAAAGAAAAACAATGTTGTATTCTTGCTCCACTCGAGTAGGCAGAGCTCTCAGGTCTCAGAATACAGATGCGAGGATACGGATACAGACACAAAATCGCATGTCTTGATTGGATTCAGTGGCTCGGCAAATCGGCCCAAAATCTTATCGCTGATCCATCAAGGGCCCGAAAAGGCGAAAACCAGCATTTTCCAAGACCCCTTGTTCAAAATTTGGACGAGGAACAGTTTTCGCAAAAGTTGGGGACGGCAAAGTCGTTGGGGACCCTTATGGTTACAACATTGCGGCATGCATTCTCCGAGATAGGAGGGAAAGCGAGCCCGTCCGACTGCGTGTAGGAATGGCTAGTGTGACGGGTTCAAGGAAGTTTGCTTGACAGGGGTATGTCGAGACTTGGACTTGCTTCGTTTTCATATTTGGTGTAAGAGCCTACCATATCAAGATATCGTTCGTTCGCTTTCACTAGAGTGGGCGGACCACTGCAGACATGACATGACATGTAATCGGTCGATAAACCTCCATCCTAGAGCATTGTTTTTTGTACTCTCTCGCCATCCAAAGCCGCCGCGCGTGTACGTAGACAGTGCTCCGCCCACTCTAGCGAAAGCGAGCAAACGATAGACATATTTGCTTTTTCCGAGATACTGCCTGGCAATGTCTACACAACCAGGAGCTCCGTTTCCAGTGACAAATCTCGCTTGCAATTTCTTGAATTTTCAAGAGTCGATTGCACTAGATTACGCATATTACCATTTACTCAGTTATGCTAAGTGTGGACCACCGGCTGTAGAGGATACTCACTAAAAATGGCTTGGTGATAGGAGCACGTTAGTAGGTCATTATGAGATCTCACTCTCAACGACCGGTCAGGATAGCAAGCCACTGTAAAGAGTCACAGGTTCTAGAAATGAATTCCTTCATCGTTCTTCAATCTACATCAGACTATCTAAATGCAGTAGATATGACTTAGATCGTACGTAATAACTGCTGATGGTGTACATTCCCATGTTGCGTAGCCCGTCTCGTCAGCGGCAACAGCTGCTTCATCAGCTCAATCATTCCTTCCAAAAACAAGTTCTCATCCTTGAAAGTCTCTCTCAAAGATGGTGTGCTCTGCACTTGGCTGAAGAGATACGGCGTCCTCATTGGAGTTTAAGAACGACAGCTCTTCTGCTAAGTGTTTTCGATGCTTTTATGTTTTTCCCCTTTTTAGGTACCAATCTTCACAAAGTGATGTAAGCGATAACATTCGGTCGGTCTCTTGCGTTTTCGCGATTACACTTCCAAGATGGGGACGCCAAAGGTGGACAATGTGTGCAGCGACACATATGATCATATGAAATGATTCGACTGTACTTTGTCGAGAAGTTGCCTTTGAATCTGCTTTGATCTTGTCCATCCGACAGTAACTTGGACCTTCCTCTTGGCCTCTTTCCAGGGACTTCGACAGACATTGCCACTCTAGCGATGTGGTCTTCTTCGTGTCCGTACCACTGAAACCTTTCCCGCATCTCCTCGGCGATCGGGACAACCTTCATCGTGGCTCGCATAGTGTCGTTGGTGGCTTGGTCCGTCATGGTGAATAGGCCGTCCAGCATAGTGTACGCGTCTCCATCACACTGATCCTTCTAACTTTGTTTTTCGTACACGGTCAACATTCGCTGCCATATACAGCAGCTGGATCGGTTACAGTTCATACAGCTATGACTTCAGCTTGAGCGGCATCCACTTATCGCACGGGATTTCCCTGTGAGGCTTCTTCATTTCGTCCAAGCTGCATTTATCCTGTGGTAATCTCGTCTTGAAGCCTACCATCTGCAAACATGCGATTGAGGCCAATCTAAATAGTGTTAGACGTTTGAGTTCCTAGCTCCGTGTACTCGGTCTTCGCGGGTGTTGATCTTCAGGCCTGTAATTCCAGTTCGGATTTCCACTTCTGCACTTCCGCCTCCAACTCTTCCCTGCTTCTTGCCATCAACATCAGTCATCTGCCCACGTAAGGACCCATGAAGGTCGACTTTTGAACATTCCCGTAAATGAAGGTCCGTGACCGAAAAAACAACATACAGGCTGGCAATTTCATGACCCGCGTCCATTGTTATTTCTCACGCGACATTCTCGTCAGGTCATGGTATTAACAATGGGATCTACTAAGGCGTAAAAAACTCCCTCTTGACTCTATTTATTCACACGATTTAGTGTGTGAGGCTATTAGGCAAAGGAGGCTATGGTGCCGTTTACGAAGTGCTTCGAAAAAGTGATAACAAGATATTTGCTATAAAATGTGAGAAGCTATGTGCGAGAAAAAAGGTGAACTTGAGGCATATTGAGGCAAACCCTTTCAATTCTTGGAAATTATTTGAAGGTACTACCGATGGATTGCCGTGTCTTACGTGGAGCACAACTCATAAAAAGTTGCCATTTTTGTACAATAGAAGATAGAGGGAAGATTGAAAACCGTTTCATTTTTCTTGTCATGAAACTCGTAAGCCCTTGAGATTCAGCTTCTGCTTTAATATTCTAGATAGCGAAAAAAAATAATTGAAGGTTCTATGGAATCATTTTTAGATTGGCACAAATCTCTGGGATCTCCGGGTAGAACGAGAATCCATGCGATTTACACTTAACACTTCCTTGAAAGCAGCTGAACAATGTCTCATTTGCATAGAAGAACTGCACAGGGTAATTTCATCAATTTCGGAACGCGCCAAAGATTGTTATTTATTAGAGTTTCTAAGCACTCAGAGTGCACTGCTCAATAAAAATATTTCTTTTTTGTCAGTTGTAAGACGGATACGAATTGGATTGAAATGAACATAAACTGACAAAATTGAATAAGTTTTCAAAAATTTCACGATGAATCATGAAGCGGTGCCGGCAATATTGTGCGCGAAAGACAGTCATAAAGTGCAAATTTTGAATGTGCATTCCGCGGCCATTTTTCACGCGCAAGTGTTGTCGGCACCGCAGAGGCACCATGTTACCAACAAATCTGTTGGATTGTGAGTACACCACAGAAAGTTTGGAGGATTTCAGCTAGGTTTTCTTCACCGCGACATTAAACCGGGGAACTTTGCGATTGGTCGACAAGACGCTAATGAACATCACATCATTTATATGCTGGATTTCGGACTATGCAGAAAATTCCAGGAAAAGGTGGGAAAGACCATGAAACTTCAAATTTGTCCCCCTTTAGAGAAGTAGCTTATGTTTCTTGAGTATGGCTTCGATTTTAAGGTTTTTTTTGGCTTTTTTGTATGGCTTTTAAGCTCTTTTAAGCTACAGTCTTGTTGACAGCTTTTCTGCATTTTGTTTATCAATTCCTCAACTGCACATTGCAGGACAAAGATGTTCGAGTACCCCGAGAAGTAGCCCCATTTCGCGGCACAACACGATACGCACCGATTGCAGCCATGAAACAGGCAATTATATTATTTGCTCAAGAATTTTAGGCACTTAGTGCCACGCCCGTCGACGATCTCCGGTCAAGGCGTATTTAGATCGAGCAATCGCGCAAAGACGACTTAGAAGGATGGATGTACATGGTCGTTGAGTGGACTTCAGGTGGTCTACCGTGGAGAAAATATAAGGTGAGTATTTATAAAATGACCTATTTATAGGTCATTTTATTATTTATTTCTGACCTGCTAACGCATTAAAAACCTTATACATTCACTTTTAAGGCCGATAATCGAGAAGAAGTGTTGAAAATGAAGGAAGAAGTGCGTGACAAAGAGGAAGCAATGAACGTATTTTTCAGAAATTGTCCAGAAAGGGAATACAAACGTATAATCAAAGTGAGTCTTTTTTTTATCAAAGTTTACAGGAGAATGAAGTAATGTCTGCTCCCAAATGAAGGCGGAAGGTTTATCATTGCGAAGCGGTCGCGATAGCGGCGACGGAGCAAATGTTGTCGTTAGAGCGCGCCGGATGCAAAACTCGAGATCGATTTCTGGTAGCCGCGCTCACCTGCATTCGCCTAGGTCATCCGCCTTCGTCTGAGATCAGACTATACTTTTCGACAATTTGCAGAATTAGATTCTCTTTCAGTATTTGTATGAACTAACTTACTTCTCTATACCTGACTACAACTTTATATACTATTGTATACAACATGCTTGTAAGGTATAAGGGTTAAATTCTACAGGTTCAGCCCACCAGACATGAGCAAGTTCAGGCCAACAACATCAAGCCGACAGACCCGCTGGATTGGGACATGGCGCACGAATTTGCAGGACCAACTGGGCCACCAGGAGACGGCAAAATGACCGATATGAAATTGGACGAGCATGAAGAAGACTTTGGAGGTGAAAAGGTAAGGAATGTCTACTTTAAGACACAAGATGCTGCATTTCAAAGCTATTTGACTCCCTTTTCAACTATAAAGAGTCAAGCCAAATAATATCTTTCCAGAAAGTAAAGGAAAAGGACAAAGGTCTTCAAAAACAAGAACATAAAATTTCGGCACCTGTTGGTTGAAAGAAAACAATGTTCATTGTCTTCATGCTAATCTACTATCTGCATAACGAATTGACATAATGAGATTGTGGCTTTGTTACTTGTCCATAATCGTCTGAAATTAAATAAAGTTTTGATCTTTAGAATTTTTCACAACAAAAAAGGAAAAATCTAGGTGATATAAGTGATTTATTACTTTGACTATGTTACATACTATGACAGATTCACGGAACAGAACTTGCACAACCAAGCGGAATCGTAGGAGGAGAATAATTTAAGCGAATGGGAAAAGTTAACGTGCAATAATTATATGTATGCAAAAGTAACAGATTAATCTACAAGCCTCTAGTTACTCAGGATAAGCTGGAACATATCGTTCATATTGGCTACTGCTTGAACATGTCGAGACTTCAGCGACAACTGAAAAACAAAAAGAATGAAAAAAATAAATGGACAGACAACGAGCAAAGGAGCACTCACCGTAAGCACCGTGGATGCTTGATGGATTTTCAGCTCGCTAAGCACGAAAATATTGTTCGTGTACTTGATGGAGTGATACAAAAGTTCTTGTCCATCAACACTACGCCTCGCTACTGTCATGATGTTATTTTGCTGGAGTTTGGCACAGATGGCGTCTAAACAAAGTTTTTTATGGAAACATAAGTCAATGGTTAGGCATCATTCGTTGGCCACCAGGCCCGGCGTAGATCGTATGGAAGCACGCTAGACTTCGCTTTTGGCCCGAAAAAGCAAAGAGGATATCATTTTTGTGGCCAAAAATTGTGAAAATTCCGGACCCTGGCAACCCACTACAGCCATTCTGCCACATACTATCCTTGTGTGGTCATAAAGCGATGATTCACTGAGAAATAAGGAAGATCTGCTAACGTTGAAACAGTCTAGCGAACATATTTTATCGTTTTATTGAGTGCATTTATTGCAGAAAGACTAGTCATTACGAATGCCAAACCTTTTTTCAGTGGTCAATGAATCATATAAGGAAGTTTGAAGCTCAAAGCAAAAATTGGCTCTATTCCACTTAATATTTTACCATCTCGTCAAGAAAACAAAATATCACAACAAAAAAAAAACGTCCTTGTCCTACCTGCATTCAGATTCTGTGTATTCTGAATTGTGAACTGCTGTTCGTTCTGTTCTGGAATCTCTTTCCACATGTCCAAGAATTCGCGCTTTTCCATTTGACCAGATTCATGGAAGTACACCAATAGTGGGACAATACACGCGAAGTAGAATACATCGATGTCATTCTTGACGGCAACCTGAAGTAGCTGGTATAATTTACCCAATCATATAGATCCCTGTCATAAAAATGTAAGCGAGTTACCATTGCTTAAAAGCAAAAATGATTTTCTTTGACAAAAGGGCCTGTAAACATCGACTCGTCATATGAGGAGACTAGCTGCGATAAAAACTAAAATAAAGTGGGCTACAAAAAATTTACAATGATGTGCTCTTCAGTCTGTTGTCTTCGCCGTAATTGTTTGTTTTTTCCACCGATAAGGTAGAATTCAGAGTACGAACGTTTTCACATATAGCAAACAGAGAACAAATAAATAGATAACGACGTGAAGAACTGCATAGTGAGTGAGATACGCATTACTATAACTACCTAAAAACCCTACGTCCATATATGGTTCAGTTAAAGGCAGCGTCCAGGCAAATCTGGACTATGGGCCTCTCACGTGGATAGTAATTTTGGGGCCCTAAGTAAGACACTGACCAACCTGCAGCTCAGGTAGTGCTCTAACGGCTGAGATATTCCCCTCGAAACTGGACCCCGGGATCGTATTTCACGGCTTCATGGCGTAACCCATCAATTTCGCGCGAGGACCCATGGGTTCCGCCATGAATCCATGCGAAATAAGATCCGGGAGTCCACTTTCGAGGAGATATCTCAGCCGTTGGAGCACTACCTGAGCTGCCGCTTGGGCAGTGGCTTAGCTAGGGCCTCAAAATTACGATCCACGTGAGAGCCCCATATGTCAGGTTTGCCTGGACGCTGCCTTCAAATTAACGGTTGATATCGTCCTTCTGCAGTGGAAACAAACTTGCGCGTACAAAGTGGTCATGAGGAGCAGGGTAGAGGACTATATATCGCCGAAAAAAGGCGGTCCCCGCGGTCATTTGCGACAAATACGCACCCTTGTATATGCGCGGACATGCGTTCCTGCAGGAAATCCGTGCGGGACTCTTCCACATTCGGCGACATATAGTCCTCCATCCTGAGTAGCAAAACTTGAAGATGTGCAATCTGTAATTTATAGGAACTGCGACATTTCCTCTCGCGCAGATGTTGTCTCTACCGCAAATTGGCACTGAAGTGGCAGCGATTCTGCTGGACTTTGGCATCTGTTGAGTTTTTTGAGTTCTTTTTGTTCATCGAATAAGAAAAAAATATGTGCGATAAGATTGTGTCAGAAATTCTAGGAATTCGAAGAAGTTTTCCAGGACATACTGATAAGAACACAACATCACCACACAAAAACTTGCATTCCGTCCCGTGATTCTTTGTATCGTTGCACCAGAAGATGTAAACAATCAAAAGCTCAAACTTGTCTGAATCGAGGGCTCTTACACAGTCACAAACTTTCTGGACTCCTACACAGTCACAAACTTTCTAGGTGCAAATAAACTTATCATTTTCGAAGGTCACAAGCTAATGTAAAATCACGTAAAAGTGTCTTGATACGCTTATTATGTTGTCTAGAAAAAAGGCGAAAAGCGAATGCAGATTGAGGCATTTCTTAAGGGAAAAATGGATAAATATATCCGAACAAGCGCAACTTTCAAATGAACACCAAGATACACCTCCGATCAGCCGAATCTAGAAAACACTCCATTCTAGTGAACTCTTGAGCAAACAATCCGTGAATCAAGTAAGGCAATTGCCTTTTTTTCGCGCCATGTGCTATCAGCAGCGGAAGACTTTCTTATCATTGATGAAGTCAGATGAACCATTGCATTGACTTATTCTGCTAGCATGGGCAGTATCAGCTCCAAAATTTCATCCATCATCTGTCCAACACAACCACCAAATGCTCAGGTTCCTTGCAGTTTCATGAAGTACTAATTGTTAAACAAGTTTCGTTACATTCCGAATGCTCGCCGCAGTTCCACATTTCTTATTTCTAATCATGTTTCAGAGCAACGTTTGCTGCTGTGAAGCAAGCTCTAAAAGAGGGTGTTTGGACATTTGCACAACTTTAATTCAAGCGAAGTTCGAAGCCAAAAATTAGAGGATCCATATGCTCAAAAACGAGAAAAAATCCAAACTTGCTCACTATACTCGCTTTACATCAGACATTCATATACGCGGTTGCCTTATTTTCTTCTTTAGCTAGAGATCAAGAAAAGGGAATTTTCAAGCTTTCAAAGCAATGCAGAGCTGTCCCCATACTAGTAAGTGCATAAATCGTGTGTTTAGTAGTAGAGCTGTAAATTTTCAGCCTTCCATGAAAGCCAGTCTTCGAAATGTACTAAATTTGGCAGGAGAAAGTTAACAAGGGGATTTGATTCTGCTTTTTTAAAGGCCAGATCTTGTGAAAGATTGAAAATTCACGGTTGTATTAGGTTGTCAAGAAAATAATGTCGAAGCACAACACAAGCTTTAACAAAGCAACGAAAGTCAACCCTACAAAGGATAAGGGGTATTGTTCTATAGAGCAAAGCTAGCTCTACAAGATGGCGTTTCATGATTTTGCGCCAAGCTCGATCCACGAAAAGTTTGAACTCAAAATCTAAAGGCTACCAAATGCTCAAAAAATCGGAAAAAATCAGATCTTCGTCCAAATAATATATACGGAGCTCCCAGTCACACACGTCAATGCATTCGATATCAGACACCCATATGTGCAGTTGCTGTGTTTTCTCCTTGTCTGAAACAGAGAAAACAAAAATTTTTTCTCAAAGCAATGCTGAGCCCTTCTTGCATATGCAGTTCTATACCACAAGCCTAAGTGAGTATAACTGTAGATTTTCAGCCCATTCCGAACTACATATGCAAGAAGGGCTCAGCATTGCTTTGAGAAAATCATTAAAAAAATTTGTTTTCTCTGTTTCAGACAAGGAGAAAACACGGCAACTGCACATATGGGTGTCTGATATCGAATGCATTGACGTGTGTGAACTGGGAGGTCCGTATAAATTATTTGGACGAAGATCTGATTTTTTTTTTCGATTTTTTGAGCATTTGGAAGCCTTTAGATTTTGAGTTCAAACTTTTCGTGGATCGAGCTTGGCGTAAAATCATGAACGCCATCTTGTAGAGCTAGCTTTACTCTATTGAGCAATACCGCTTATCCTTTATAGGGTTGACTCTGGTTGCTTTGTTAAAGCAAGCAAAGTGAAAACGACATTATTTTCTTGACAACCTAATACTTCTGAAGGCTTGTAAAGTACAAATATACAAAGATTAGTGTTAGAACAGCTCAGCATTGCATTAATACAAATTCAAAAACTCGCGTTTTTCCAACTGACCAAGATAAGGCAACGCAAATATGAAAGCATGATGCAGATTATAAATGCATGAACAATTTCCGAACTTCGCTTGATTTCTTTAGACAGAGTTCCAATTTTTTCCTTTTCAGCATTAAGATCATTTTTATTTTCTACAAGCTTCGTCTAAATCAGAAGCAGTTTGGACAACATAGTAGAGCTTGCTTTGCTCCATTAATTTTACCCTAAAAATTGATCAAAAATGAGGAATTTGTGACTTATTGCGGCAAAAAGCCCAAGTGTAAAAAAATTAAGCGGCACTTTGATATGTTTGCGTCAACAATTTCTTTCAGGTGCCGAAAGAAAAGGAAATTGTTCGCTTTTTCATGATAGGGACTGGTGCAGCTGGAAAGACTACGGTCATAAGGCAATTGAAATGTCTTTGCAAGGAAAGACCGAAAAATTATAAGGTTAGCCACAATATTAGATAAATGACTGTTTCACAAAGCTCTTTTCAGGCTTACGACAATGAATGGAATCTCATTCCACCGGAAAACATTTTCTCCGAAGAAGAGATTGTGCACTATCGAAAAATTATTCGCATTAACATCACTTATGCCGTCTACAATCTTCTACAAGTAAGATTAGATCAGAATTTTTTGCAATGACGCATTCTGATGATTGCTTGCTAGCAAACAATACAATGGGGTCACGACTGTTCGGCTGTCGAAAGTGCCCAGACTCTCATCCAGATGGTTGAAAGGGCAGACCTCGAAGGAAGAGGCAAATTCAATATGAACATTCCATCAGCGCTTGGCAAGGACTTGGTCGAAGTTCTCATAGATCCAAATGTAAGTTCAAGTTTTTGGATTTTCCTCATAATTCTGATTTATTTACCCGCTTTATGCCTTTGATTGTTCTAAAGTTATTACCCCTTTGAAAACTGAGGGCCCATCAAGTACGAATTGTAAAGCCATACCAACCAACCAACCAAAGAAAAACCTAAGAGAGAACGTAGTTGTTTGGCTACAAGCCAAAACTCAATTTTGCTATGCTTTGCTAGCCTATCGATTCAACGATCAAGAAAATGAGACTCACTTCGCATGATAGTGGCCTTTTTACCGAGATTACGGCACCTACAGACTTCAACATACAGTTTGCTTCTTCGCAAAGAAATTACTTGCCATGGCGTTCAAGATCATCATATGTCAATGCCTCATATAAGGTTAAGGTGAAACGTGGATCGACCTAATTCCACTTCTCTGGATGAAAGTTACTTTCGTAATCAGCACAAAGGCCATCCTTATCAAATAAACCTTCAATAACAATGATTTTGACTCCCTACCGTTGCTATGATGATTCAGGTAGCTGATACATTGCATAATCACGACAAAATGGCACGCATATGGCACTTAGAGGATGGAACACTGCATTTCCTCACTGAAGAACATATCAAGCGCTTGTTTGATGATGAAGCAGAGCTGACGATGAGCGACATCGTGCACTCCAGGTAATTACTAGCAATACATTACTTAAACATTGCTTTGCAAAAGAAGAGCAATTATTTTGCGGGTTTTCCCATAAAAAATTCTCATGCTGTAGATTTGGCACAATTCGGATAGGGGTAGAAGGCGTGTTAGGTTGGGTTCATATTGACTCGCTAGTCATGGAAAAGTTCCAGCAAAACGCACAGTTCAAGCGCGGTGCTGAAAGTTACGGATCAGTATGAACCTGGTCTTCTGCTGCCGAAAGGGTTTCTGAGTCGGCAATAGCTCTACTCCGAAAGATGAAAGCATAACAAAATTGCTAGTAAACCATGTTCAGATATCCAACAACAGACAGCCAAGACTTCAGATTCAGTATAAGCAGCATGAAGATACAAATACATGATATGGGTGGACAGCCGACCGAACTGGTACTTTTTTCTCTGTCACTATGCTGAAGACTAGACCTTAACTCCAACACTCAGGCAAAACTACCAGAATTCATCAATCACTGGGTCTCGCAAGATCGCGAGGGATACAAAAATTTTGTACTTTTCGTGACCTCAATGGCTGACTTCAATGTACCCGATGAAGATGAGCCCACAAAGACGGCTTTAGAACGAAGCGTTAAGATACTAGAGGCAAGCAAGCAGCATGGTAAAAGCAATCATTCTCAAGATGATTTTCAGATAATTTTGCGCGAGGATATAGTGCGGAGATGTGGACTTCTGATCTTTTTCAACAAGCAAGACAGATTTGATGACATTGTGACATACCTGCAAAAGACAAAAGAAGGGAGGATGGAGATCGCCAAATTTCTCGGAAATGCGATGGGTGAAAGTGAGAGCTTTATAAATAGAAGAAAATCGCAGCTTCATACATCCTATCTTTTAGAAGATAAATTGAAGCTGAGCGATGGACAATGTGATATCTATGCGCTGTACAATGCATTAGCAGATAAATTTGATGACGTTATAAAGAAGCAACGAAGAGAAACATATGGTCGAGGGGTCTATATGAGGTGGGTAGAGGAATTTCTTATTTTCAACCTAAACGACAACTACTTTCAGATTTACGCAAGCAGTTGACTCCAAAATTATGGCAGACATCTTCAAAGTCATAAAAAACGAAATCATCAAAAATTTCATAGACACTGGGGGTTGGATACCATAAAATACTGTAAGTATGTACATATGTATGTATAAAAGGTTTTTAAATAAAGAAGTATAATACTATCTTGCAGAATCTAGAGAAAATTTTGTAATGTCAATGAGATACCTGCAGATTTGTGAGCGGGTCCATTTTCTGTACGGCTCCAGTGGTGTCGCACCGTAACGTAACCTTGAATTTGATTTGCAATTGACAAATAAGTCCACAAACGCTAAATTACATTCGCGCTTTGTCCCGGCATAAGAGGAGTGGGAACTCTTAACGGCTCTGCAGGAACAAGGCCGAAGGAGTTCTTGTTGAATTGAATCGCAAATCCTGACAATGCTTGCATGGCCTGCAATGGATAAAATTACTTGTGACATTTGAAATGAGTGATTTACCAACCTTGTTGGTAAACGTCATATCCATGATGATTGCACCACCACGACGGACAAAGGTGCCTTCGATTTGGGTGCCCTAGATTTTAGCAAATGATTAGCGTCAACATTAGGCTCAAAAAATAAATACCTTTCCCCTAGCAGCATCCAACCACAACTGCTTGGGAGCCTGATAACCAGATGATGCCGTCTCAGCTAATCCCATGGGACTACTGAAGATGTCTCCTAGCCCTCCTATAAAGAACAAACGCTGGTGCTTCAGATCGACAAAACAAAAGAAAGGTAGAGAAGATTATTGCAAATCAACTACCTAAAGAAGCTGGTGCAGCTGTTGCTGGCGGCACAGTTGGAAGTGGAGCTACAGGACCGCCAAGGCCAAGACTAGCCAGGGGGTCGAACGTATTCGCAGCAGCAACCGGTGGAGCAGCATCTACGACAGGAGGGCTTCCAAGTCCCAAAAGATCATCCAAACCCGTTGAAGTTGTCATAGGCGCCGCATACGCTGAATATCAATGATGCAACCCATTTCATTATTGGATAGAGGATTTTCATAAGATTATATAAAAGTACTGATTCTTACGTGGCATTGTATTCATCTGAGGGCCCATAGGTGCACCAATATCCAAAGACAGAAGGTCTGCAATAAGGGTGTCTTGCGAAGGGATGACCGTCGGAGCAGCTGGGCGACTTGCACCAGCTGAAGCGCCGCTGACGGAGTCGATAGATGATTGTCCACTAGAAGTAGCAATGAAGCTGAGCAGACGCTCCACAACGTTGAAAACTCACTTTGTTACACCAGTTCCAGCTCGCAATGGTTGTCGTGCACCATCGACGAAAGATGATGGAGGCTTGTGGTAAACCGAAGCGAGGCTACCAATGTGGCATACTAACTGATCAAGTAGTGATGGCTCCAACAGATCCGTTTCTTCAGAAATCAAAGGTTTCTCTGCCAGAACCACTTGTTTGGCTGCAGCTGGGTCTGCAGACAAAAGTCGCCAGTATATATATCTGAACAGATGAAGAATCCTTTCTTTACGTTGAGTAAATGCGTTTTCCAAATTGGAACTAACTACTTACCCACGATCTCTCAAGTCAGGGTTGTCGCTATCTTGGGTAGCAAGAGACAAAACTCGCTGGACCAATTGTTGTGTATCAGTTGGCCTTTTTAGGAACAATTTCACAACAGCAGTAAGAAGCTGCAGTTGTACCTGAGAAGGTGGTAAATCAATCAAACATACGTCATACCGGAAAAATCGACGAGATGCAGTAATTCAAATCGTACTTGAGTGTTCTCATCGTGGAATCCTTCGACAAAACTTTCTAACAGTTCATCGGCATTGTCAATTCTCTCAGCATATTCTCCAATGATCCATATCATAGATGCACGAGCTTCCGGTTCGTCCAGCGTGTCCAAATTCTAGAAGAACAGATTTGGCATAACTGCAAGTACAACTTCATTAGCAACTTGCCTCGCACAAGGTTGAGATAATGCTCTCATATCGATTCGGATATTTGCGGAAGATGTCCTAAAGATTTATTAATGTGAAAAGGAAAATATTCTTGAAACACACCATCAAGTAACAAAATGTTCAGAATAAGTAACATTGAATTGGGTTGTCTCCTGCTACTCCTGTCACTCCTGCTCAATCTTAGCAACAAAATAATTCAAAACAGATCTCTTACGTAGTGATACTCACGCCGGATATTTACCATAACATTAAGGCAAGTATTCTGACTGTGCTTGCTTTTTCTAATCGAATAAAATCAATTACTTAGTATGCAAGTCGAATAAGTAGGACTGACATGTACATAAAGCATAAGTCAAGATGTAACGATGAAGGATAAGGACATACCTTGATGACAACGACCGCTTCTTGTACCACATAGTTGACCTTCGTTTGAATCAATTCCAGCAGAGTGGCAACGCAACGTTCACTACTAGCTTCCACCTGAAAAACGTGTAATGGATATGCATCTACACATGAAAAGGAAATTCACAAAACATTTTCGAGGTAAAAATACTCTATGTAATTCTCAGCTCACCTTGATAGCACATCGTCCTATAGCGCGGACAGACTTGCGGACAAAATCGACGTCTACTTCAGTTGCGTACCTGAACTCAAATTTGTGTAGAAAAAATGCAGGCAATATCTAGGTAAAAAAACATTATCCATCCCAAGTTAATCACGGCAAAAAAACGCATAAAGATCTACACATTCTCCATTAACCAGTTGAGTTGTAGATATTGCAAGTGACATAATTTTCTCTATTGTAAAACTCACCAATTCACCAAATTCACCAAATTCATACAATTGAACTCTCGTCTCTTTCAAAGCTAATGAAAAGTGATATAGATGGAATGGACTCTATAACGACGTAAGCACTTACTCTTTTAGTTCACTAAGCACTTGAGCAATATTATTCTGTTGCGCAAGGCGAATCATGATATCCAACTTCTCCATTTTTACATAAATAGGGTCGTTATACTTCACAAAGAATACCTAAATGAGTAGATTAGCACTCTCAGATACAAAGAAGCGAATTCAAAATCAGTGAAGCAGAACTAACTTTCATTTCCTGTTTCAGTATTTCCGGCCTTTTTTGAACGATGAGGTTAATATTGCGAAGAGCCACATACTGGATCTCTGGTTCAGCAGAAAGCAAAGTCACCTAAAGCAGATCCCATGATTCATCTTAAAAAGGAATAGGCGAATCCTCACCATTGGAGGCGCCAACTTCTTCGTGAGCTGATTTATGAAGTCAGAGTCGGAAGGCAGCATATCCACAAGCTTCATCAGAACCTAAATACATTGCCAGACTATCAATATGTCGGATCCTCTGCGCAAAAAGAGATGGATGAACTTCAAGTTTGTCATTAGCAAACCACCAACGCGATAAAAAAAGGTCTATAGTTTTACCTTGACAGTAGAAAGTACCACAGCAGCATTAGCATGAGCGAGACGCGGTGATATTCGCTCACAGATATTCTGAGCCTCTCTCTCATCACGTGGGCGATAACCGGCCAACGCGTCCAGAATGAACACCTATAATACAATGACATTTTTCGCTCTTAATATTTATATATCGCTGCCTCACTCACCTGACCCCACTCTGTGCACTCATTTAGCGCAGTCAACAGTTTGTTAACCATCTGGCTATTCACCTAAAAGTTCTCTTCAAAAAGATGAAAAATAAAAGAGCTTGGATATGAACAAGAACCTCAATCAGTGGTCCTTGTTCATTTATCTCCGTCAAGGCTGCGACTGCGTTGGCGACGACCATCGGATTCGCATCAGATAAAAGGTCATTTAAAAGCTCAACAAAACCTAAACAAAAAGGATGGCAGTGACAGTCGCTCGAAGCAGGTGCCTTTCGTTTGATTTCAATTCACCTAGTGCAAATGAATTTTGAAAAGTCATTTGACACCATGCTATCCCAAGCATCGAAGAGTGAGCTGAATCTTCTCTGCAGATGCTGAGAAAAATATTACACTTCACGAGCGCTTCACTAATGAGATCGATTTTTGGAAAAAAGTTTTCTACAAAATATGAGCAAACTTTTTCTGTTTTCAGCACCAAAACCCAATACAAAATTGGTTATATCACCACAAAAGCAGATTCCAAAGCTGGGAACATGTTAAGACATAGAAATTAAGAAAGCAAATGACTAGATTTTCATGGAGCGCTCAACGCCAACAATTGGCCGCGCTGGATAAAATTGACCATAAATAGAGCAGCACACAAATCAAATCGAACCTTGTTCTTCTACAAGTTTGGGGTTCATGTCATGAAGTTTTGCAACACAGACTGCAGCAGTCTTACGTACGTATGGGTCCTCGTCCTATAATAGGTTAGCACTTCCTAGTCAAATATGTTGAAAGCTTTGGCAAACCTTCATGCATTTGCGTAGCGGCTCGCACAGATATTCCGTAATCTTTTCAACGCGAATGCATCCCATAGTGCGCACCGCAAGAGCACGAATCAGAGGATTTGTATCCTCGCAATCCTGGAAACATATATAATTCGAGCAATCCAGAAATGAGGAACAACCTTTTGGACATTGACATAAAGTGATTGATATGCCTAACCTTCACAAAAGTGTTGACGGCCATGATAGCAAGATCAGGTTGACTTTTGGCGTAGTTCATGAGATATAGATAAACTAATTTCTTCAGCTCCACATTATCGGTCTGCATACAGTTGACAACATCAGGAAACAAAGCGCTAAAAGATGCGCCTTAGCATGTAAGTGACAAACAACTTTAGTACAAGATGGCTATAAACCTTCTTCACATTATGGTAGAAAATTGACAACTACCAATCAAACGACCGTTGATTTGACGTTATTTCAAAAATTTTTGCCATGCATGGGAGTCTTACAAGGAAAGGACACTTGGTGACCGTAGCCTTTTAAATTGAAACGTATACCATTAAACTTGAAGCGCTGATTCCAAATCTGCTCACGGTATCTGCTGCGCGCTCTTCCAAAAGAAATTATAAACATTCTTGCCACCAAAAGTTGGACTGTTTTGATAACCGAGTTAACTAATATCATTAAATTGTTCACTAACGCAGTACAAAAAAAGCGTCCAAATAATATGAAGCTTTGCGTTAACAGGAAAACTGTCTCCGATATACCAGAGTCTGAAAAGCCTGAATGCTGATGACTGCCTAGATCTCGTATAATTGATATGGAAAAAAGTCCATAACTTCGTTCAGAGAGTCGCGCAGCAGATAATGAACATAGAGAAATCAGCTTTTCAAGGCGCATCCAATAGTATACGTATCACTGCAAAAGGCCACGGTCACCAAGTATCCTTTCCTGCTAGTCAAAGTCACAGAAGGAACATCAGGAATCATTGTTGCCCACACTGAAAGGTGGGAATATTTCTACTGTGGTTTATTGTGAAACCTCATCAATACATTTCGTACTCCTGCGTAAGGCCTCGGACAGTTCACACGATTTGATCGCTGCGATTCAATCGCTACAAGACAACTGTTACAAGTTCATTGCATGCCGATCAGCTTGCATTTCGGTTGTGATACTTTTCCAGCTCGAAATTTTTGAAAGTAAAATGAAAATGAATGAAAATCGCGGCGATTAAATCGCACTCTGTCCGAGGCCTAACATGCTCATATGGACTAGCCGTCCATGCAGTGCTTCACAAAATCAGCAAACTGACAACATTTCACTCAAAAGACATGCAACTTTTTCATGCTAATAGAATATTAAAGTAAAAAATGCAAAACTTGCTCGTACCTCACATCCTTCCCAACGGTCATACTTGCGATAACCTTTTTCACAGCTTCTCGTTTCTTCTCCTTTTTGTCCGAATTCAACTCCGTTTTCAGCTCAAAAATCTCACCTGAAGCAGATGTTATAACGATGTTTCATTCGTAAATACTCAAAACTTCGGAAGTCGAAGACTAACCTTTTTTGGTGGTGGTAAAGTACTTTGAATCCGTCATGATGGCCGACCAACTACCCTAACAAGAGTCGTGTAAGCCTGTAAGCCGTATTTCAGTTTGGGAACAATAACAAAACTACAAATGAGAAAATCAGAAGATGTTGATGTGCAATCGCTTCTCACTGCAAGAGCATCCGATATGCGTCAGCGCTTGCGCATAGTTGACCCAACGCAGGGGATGTCGCTGGAGCATGCTGTGTGTGCAAAATCCCAAAGTGGGAGGCACGCGGGAGGCGACAATGCGCGCAAAATGCAAGCAGTGTAAAGTCGCTCTTGCTATTTTTTTTTACAAAATTTTACTTATGGCATCGAGTCGTGTATCTGCCCCCACCCCACCCTCCTACCCTGGCGCCGTGTTACTTACCGAAGAGTTTTGAAAGGCACAAGACCACCAGAGGCACCACACCCGTGGTTCAGTTTCTTACCTCCATCTCGTTGTAGTCTCATCAAAGGCAATAAGTTTCTCGAAAAATTCAAAACTCGTTTGCTCTACAGTGGAAATTTTGAATTGGAACTGAGGCTACTTTGACCTAACTTTTGGGAATCTAAACAAAGAATTTATTACAAAACCAGCTATCGCACTTTCTACAATAGCTCCTTTCTCATAGCTTCCTATTAAAGCCAACAAACATCACTCTATTTCAGACTGAAGTGCTTACTGTTAAAGACTTATGATACAGATAGAGAACAGAAACACATGGCACAGAAATTGTTGACACAGGAGATACTGATTTCCATATTTGTGTTAAGTTGAATTAATGAATGGAATGATGCGAGCTCACACGGTCTGCTCGAGTGTGCCTCCATACCTGCAGGGCTGGGCATACATCACGCGACTTCATCGCCTTGCGATTAATCTGGCGAGACAACTGTCACAAGTCCATTGCAAGCCGATCGTCTTGCGATAGGCAGGGGTGAGAAGAATTAGAAGAACAAAACGGGCTCAATTTACAAGTATAGGGCTTATCAAATTGAGTGTCGTTTGCACCAGCATCTCCATCTTCGCGCTGGACTCTGCGTCTCTACTGCGGGACTGCTCTCTAAGCACTTTCCCAGGGCGAGCGTGGGAAAGACGGAGCCTCAATCGATTGGAAGTGATTAGGGAACATGTGCCGCAAGGAGACGCAGGGTCTAGCGCGAAGATGGAGATGCTGGTGCAAACGACACTCAATTTGATAAGCCCTATAGAAGTTACCCACAAAGAGTCTGCAGCGTCACATATGAATCCGACGCTTACTGTTATTAAGGTATACCCATAGAAAGTGATAAAAGGTTATTTACTACTTATTTGCCTAGAGACTTTACTACCGTACACAACTTGATTGATCATCTTTCTAACTAGGTTTAGAAACTTGCCGCATCGTCAATCAGCTGCAATCAGATAAAGAACTTCACTAATAAGCCATCTAGCAAGATTATTGCGCTGTTGATTTGCTGATTTGGGCTTATAAGGAAATGGCTAGAGGTTGAAACTGTTCCCAACAAGCTGCATACCACTGGATGTAGCATATACTGCTGATCCCAAATTTGCATACTCTAGGTGCAACATCTCGTTTATAAAACGATCATGTGAAGTGCATTTTCAGCCGACAGGCAGATGTCTGGCTTCATTGCTGGACTATGTTCTACATGGACGACCCTCCAAAGGAGTATACAAGGTCCATTTATAGTGACCGCCAAAAAGTTGCAAACAAGCCGCCCTCCTTTCTTCGTCGCTCTTTTTCTGATGGATAACATTGATGAAAAAATGATTAGATTATGTGAGATGATAGTCTGCAAAAACTACCACCCCGCATATTACACCTTTCTGGTAAACATGGATTCTAAAAAAGTTAGACATCTTTTATCAAGAAAAGTCCAAAAATGGCCGCGTCACAAAGTCGCAGACAAAGATTCTTCGAACGCGAAAACTTCTTTTCTTTTTCAAAGCGAAAACACAAGTAATAATCCGTACAAATAAGCATACTATTATACAGAACTCATCAAGAGCTATAATCTGGTTATAGATACTTCCTCAAAAACAATGGGATTTTAATTTGCGTTTTTTAGAAATTAACTCAAATTCCCTTTTCCAGAGAAAATTTCTTCATCTCAAGACTGATGCAAAACATCCTAACAAAAATTTTCCAGAAAATATGGATGTTCTTTACCATTCTCTAGGCATCGGAGCATAGGACATGTGCAAGTGAATTTCTTTACTGGAAAGGGCTCTTACAAGGAAAAGATACTTGGTCGAAGTGACGTTCCGTTATGAAATGTAAACTATCTTATAGAGTTTAGAACACTGATTCCGAATCTGCTTCCCATATCTGCAAAGCGCTTCTGTAAGGGAAGTTACGGGGATTTCTTGGAGCAAAAATTTGAAAGCACGGCTACCATAAAATCATTCAAACAGCATTCTATGAGCTCGAATGGGGCTATGATTACTATCAGGGCATTTTATGCATTACTATCTGCAATCTAATAAGTTTTGTCAGTCATTACTCCTCAGACAATCGACGGGACCCCTCCGCCGGACAGTCCGAAACTGCCAGAGTCGCGCCGGACCCAGTTGACCAATGAGAGATGGGCAAATGGGCGGTCCATCGCGGTGACATCACTGGCAGGCAAGTGGGAGGCTTCTCCGGCCCTGCTGCAAAGGTCCGCCATTTCTCCGGCGCGACTCTGCCAGATTTGGCGGACTCCGCGCCGGAGAAATTTGCCCGGCGCGAGTCCGCCAAATTTGGAAGAGCCGCGAGGAGCAGAAATGGGAGGTATCCGGAGCAGAAAATGGGAGGTCTCCGGAGCAGAAAATGGGAGGTCTCCGGAGCAGAAAATGGGAGGTATCCGGAGCAGAAAATGGGAGGTATCCGGAGCAGAAATGGGAGGTATCCGGAGCAGAAAATGGGAGGCCTCCGGAGCAGAAATGGGAGGTATCCGGAGCAGAAATGGGAGGGCTCCGGAGCAGAAAATGGGAGGTATCCGGAGCAGAAAATGGGAGGTCTCCGGAGCAGAAAATGGGAGGTATCCGGAGCAGAAAATAGGAGGTATCCGGAGCAGAAAATGGGAGGTATCCGGAGCAGAAAATGGGAGGTATCCGGAGCAGAAAATGGGAGGTATCCGGAGCAGAAATGGGAGGTATCCGGAGCAGAAAGTGGGAGGTATCCGGAGCAGAAATGGGAGGGCTCCGGAGCAGAAAATGGGAGGTATCCGGAGCAGAAAATGGGAGGTCTCCGGAGCAGAAAATGGGAGGTATCCGGAGCAGAAAATGGGAGGTATCCGGAGCAGAAAATGGGAGGTATCCGGAGCAGAAAATGGGAGGTATCCGGAGCAGAAAATGGGAGGTATCCGGAGCAGAAATGGGAGGTATCCGGAGCAGAAAATGGGAGGTATCCGGAGCAGAAAATGGGAGGTATCCGGAGCAGAAAATGGGAGGTATCCGGAGCAGAAAATGGGAGGTATCCGGAGCAGAAAATGGGAGGTATCCGGAGCAGAAAATGGGAGGTATCCGGATCAGAAATGGGAGGTATCCGGAGCAGAAAATGGGAGGTATCCGGAGCAGAAAATGGGAGGTATCCGGAGCAGAAATGGGAGGTATCCGGAGCAGAAAGTGGGAGGTATCCGGAGCAGAAAATGGGAGGTATCCGGAGCAGAAATGGGAGGGCTCCGCCGGACAAATGGGAGACCCACCGCTGGGGAAATGCCGCGACCCTGCTATTTCTCCGGCGGAGGGGTCCTATCCGCTGTCTGAGTCCTTTCAAGCGCCGCAAAGATCTCAACAGCTGTTTTTACCTTAGCCAAACCATTAAATTTTTACCAAAAAAAATCTCCGGAACTCCCCTCCCAGAAATGCTTTGCAGATAAGAAAAGCAGGTTCGGAATCAGCGTTCCATGCTCAAGACAGTATACATTTCATAAGGAAACCCACTTCGACCAAGTATCCTTCCCTTGTTAGAAATGCGTACACATGATTTCGCCTGTACCTCACTAATGGCTTGTACCGCCTTACAGGCCTCTCAGCCGGGAGTCTATCTACGAGCCTGCGTGTAGGCTCTTTAGAAAGAGCATGCCTTCCCCGACACTACGGTATGTAAACGAGTCGAACTGAGAAATTTCTGAGATTTTACGGATGGAGTAAAAAAGCTCAGCCTTAGAAATGATCGAAGCGAAGGCTCTCATCGATACCAGCATAGTCTTGGAACTTCGAAATGGATCTATTACAAGAAAATTGACAGTTTTGAACTTCCAGAATGGAACTGGTAGCGAAAGGAGCTCTGCCCAACTTTAGCTGAAGAATCCTTAGCCTACCAGTATTGCACTTTTTCACTCCATCCGTAAAATCTCCGGGACTTCCTAAGCTCATTTGCTAATTTTCGCGTTGAGAAAGTCACGATCTTTCGAAGCCTGCTTGCAGGCCCGTAGGTTGACTGCCGGCCGAGCTACAAGCCTGTAAAGCGGTAGAAGTCATTGGTGAGGTGCAGGTGAGTTTATGTGCACGCACTTCCAAGAGCCTTTTTCAACAAAAAAACTCACTTGCACATGTTCGATGCATAGAAAATAGTAAAGAACATCCATTTTCTAGAAACCTTTATTAGGACGTTTTACATCAGCTATGAGATGAAAATTTGGTTTGGAAGAGGGACTTAGAAGTTAATTTCTAAAAAATGCAAATTGAAATCCTAGTTTGCGTTTCATCAGAAAGTATCCGTAACCAGATTACAGTCTTTGATAACCTCTGTATAATAATATGCTTATTAGTACGGATTACTTGTGTTTTCGCCTTGAAGAACCCAAAAAGAAATTTTTGCGTTCGAAGAATTTTTGTCCGCGACTTTGTGACGCGGCTACTTTTGGACTTTTTTTGGTAAAAGCTTTCTAACTTCATTGAAATCCATGTTTTCCAGAAAGCGTGATAAATGAGTTGTAGTTCTTGGAGAGCTCTATCATCTCAAAGAATCTGATCATCTTTTCATACTTGATTTCCATTTGAAAATGAGTGGCAAAGAAAGAGGGGCGGCTTGTCCGCAACTTTTTGGCGGTCACTGTAGGTAATCCAAAAATCTTCGTAGAAATTTGCTTTCTTGCAATGATCACTTATACTACAGAAATCTCACAGTAATCTGTTGGTTCTATCATGGAAACATCACAAGTGTGCACAATCACACCATGCATAATGACAAGAACTTAACGGAGAAACGCTATAAGATTTTCTTAGTGCAAGTCTTACCGGCCAAGAAGTGATGCAGATGTACTGATTTTGTTGCTGACAGCATATCAACAAACATCAGGAGCATTTGGGAAAGATCTTATACTTCTATGAAGAAGGTTCGCTCAATAAAACTGGTTA